TTCGTTACAAATAAAAAATATTAAAAGTATTAGTAATAAAGTATTAAAAGTAGTAGACTATATTATGATTAAACTTAGGTAAATATGACTTTAAGCTCTTTTTTGTTTGTTGTATAGACAACTTCTAAGACCCCAACTGATTGGAGATCACTTAAACCAATCTATGAACATACCCATTCATTTGGGGACTATATATTAAGAAATGGTGCATCTTTAATTTAGCTCAACATATGCTTTCATTTGACATGTGAAACTTGTCATGTAAGTTATACCATTTATACTGTCAGCCTGTGAAGGAAATTCTATTGAAAATTCAAGACTTGTCAGTATACTTAGTAGAATTTGGGATCTAAATTCTGGGTATGGGCAGATTTTAATTGAACAATACAGTGGACTGTAGGGATTGCGAGGTGATCTTTAAAAAAGAATTTTAGCCTGAACCATTGGGAAAAGGCCTGCATGCTTAACTACAATGTTCCAATAAAAGCAGCAGGAGTCTTCCTCTAGTACCTCAATACATGTTTCATTTGCTAAGGTTGCTTTTCTACATGTATCGTCTCACTATAGTCACCCTATTATTAGACTCTAGTTGGAGTCAATGGTCAGTTAAGTGACCGCTGGAACCTAACTCATTCTAGGTGGAATCAGTGGAAAAACCATGACACTACAGCAGATATTTAGGAGATTAGAAGCACAAGAGCTCACATTTCTTGGAATAAACATACCATAAACATGACTTAGACATTGATAAAGGGGCATCTGCTGAGCTAATGATTGCTTTTTCAGTAACACGATGAAAACCCGTAAGAACTATGAACTAGGAAATTGACAAACCTCACGTGTTCCTCAGAAACGTCTCGTAATCCGATGCAGAAGGTTGTCAGCCAAAGTCTGGGTGAAATTCTGTCGGACTTGTGCCTCTTCTTTTCAGAAATCCTCGATTTAAGTTGTCAGATACAAGTTTTCGATCACAGCCAAGGTTTGCAAAGTTTGCAAGAGAGCGCGTATCACTCAAAAGATGCACTTAGCAACAGCAGCGTGTATCCATCACTCAAAAGATGCACTTAGCAACAGCAGCGCCATGCGTGCGTGCTGACGGCACAACCCTTACGTACAACGCTTACGTACATCTGTGCAGTGCGTGCGTCTTCTTCTACTCAATTACAAACTCCAAAGGTCCACTTAGCACAAGGCACGGAGTATGTCCAAACTTAAAACTTCTAACAAAAAATGTAGTGAATCCACACGGAACAATTGAACTATGCGCAAAGTACTAAATACACTACTAGATAGATAAATACACTAGCTAGATGGCTACTTTAGCAAAGCTAAGCTAAGGGCGCTCTGCTCCCGTTCCTCCTGTACCACTGCCACTGCGCTGGTCTCTCTGCAGAGCCGCTCTTCTGTCTGGATCATGTCAATCGATCGCACCAATACTTCTGCCCCACTGAACATTTAAAACAGTAATCGCACATCAGAAATAAAGTTTGGAGTGAGCGAGACACCTGTGAGGGACTGGCTAAAGACAGCTTCACAGTAACCGGGAGGATGCGCCATGCAATTTTCCTGGAAGTCATTGGATGGATCGATAAAGCCTGGACTTCACTGACAGCCGAAACCATCCTGTCGGGATTCAGAAAGGCTGGAATAATTCTAACTGGAACTGATGCTGAGTCTGACGTAGAGATGCGCGGATTGCGGTTACAACCGCGGTATCCGCGGTTAATCCGCTGGTCGGGCGGATGACGTGACGAAAAATTATATTTTAATTAAATTCGGGCGGGTGGCGGATTCACTACTCAAATAAAAACACTTTGAACTCGGAGCAAATGGGAGGAGACCGAGCGGATGGCGGGCGGGTGCTGTTTTGAAAAACTGTGGTTGCAAATGGATAGCGGGCGGATGATGAGTTTTCCGATGCGGTTGCGGATGAAAAAGTAGCCCATCCGCGCATCTCTAGTCTGACGACAGCTACACAGAAGAGGAAGCGGCCCCCGTTTACCCATTGATCTATTAAAATAATTTACCTCTGGATGTTGCAGAGTTGCTCAGAAGAACAGGAAGGGTGAAGAATTCAGTGGATTTAGATAAACTTGTTATGTTATGTTGTTTATGCTATAGCTATCTGAATAACTTAATATCTTATGTTAATGGCCTGTTTATTCTCTATTCTATTGTTATTACTATAACTTGCCTTTCAAGATAAAATGTGTGTTCTTGCGCTCTGATTTTATAAAATACATTTCTCCAAAAAAGTGTGACTTATAGTCTGGTGCGACTTATATGTTTTTTCTTCTTCATTTAGCATTTTTTTTGGATACAGAAACATCCAAAAAGCACAGCAAAAAACAAACAAACATGTAATCTACATCTCCATCTCCAATGTAGTGATTTGATACTGATTTGTGCTGACTTGTTCAATAAAAACAGTTGCATTTGCATTTGCAGTTTTTTCTGTATATTTGTATTTGTGTTGTAAATGTGTTAAAAAAATAACCCCTCAGGCCTTTCAGCAGGTTTCAAAGAATAAAACAACAACTTTTCAGTCAGTTCAAAAGTGTAGTGGCGTAGAAAGCATAAATACATACCCTCAAATGTAGTACAGTAAAAGTAAAAAGTATCTCTTTAAAATGTTCTTAAATGCGTGAGTGTGAATGAAACAAAACAACTCCAGGTATGTTTGTGATGATGAAACAACATCATAACATAGATCATTATAACTTATTAAAATAAATATATGAATCTTTTTTTTTTTTTTTTAGAATTTCAACTCATGTTATTTTTTTTACAGTGCAGAGTGCATTTGGACTTTGTTTAAATCTCGTGAACTTTTCTTGTTCTTCTATTTGAATTACAAATGATCTACAAACATGACTTTTATAGATTTTGTAATTTTTCTTAAGCTGATATATATGTGCGTGTGTGTGTGTGTGTGTGTTTGTATATATACATATAGTAACACATCCAAAAAGCACATGCCAATGAAATTTCACTGGAGTCTGCCAATTGAGTACCTTTGTTTTAGCCCATTTTCAGCCAAATAGGAGGTGGACACTAGAGCTTCCATTATCCCAACAAAGTAATCATTTAAAGAAGAAAATATAATCAAATCTGCAGTATAGAATATGTTAATCTGAGGTCAAGAGCGCTGCAATCTCCAATGTCGCCACCAGATAGAGCCAAACTAAAACCATCCAGAAATGCGTTGTAAGTAGTTAGTTTAAAAAAGTAAAATGTAGGTCACAGTTTATTGCGTTATTTTAGCATGTCATTTGCCCTCTGCATTTGACCCATCCTTCAGTGTCTCTGGGTTAGACCTGCTTTGACTACCACTGGACCAGTGCTGAGCTAAGATCTTGTACCTATAGCTGGAGAATTTGATGCACAAGTTATGGGTTGATGGTGGAAGAACATGCAAACTCAACAGAAAAACACAGGAATTAAACCATGTTAACCACTCTGCCATTCAATCTCACAATTCAATTTTCTATGCCACTGTTAACTACAATAAAAGTAGTGATAGGGTTTTGGAAAATGTTTTGAATTTCAGATAAATGTAAAATACATCGACCGCTTTTATGCATTCTATCGTCAGATTATCGTTATATTGTGAAGGTGGGGCCAGCTTTGTTTCCGTGTCAAAAGGAAGTTACTAAAATAGTGATTTCCTGTCAGATCTTTAAAAATTTCACCAATAAGCCTCACCACATGCAGTGTGTCTCCAGCGATTAGAATGTAAGGAGGAAGTTCCTTATTTTTTGTCTCTCATTTCAGAAAGTCAAACCCATATATTACACACTGCTTGCCCTTGGAGATAGATGGAGATAGACTCTACTGCAATAATATTATGAGGACAAGGTGGTTTACCCTCCATAAGAAAAGCTACATGTTGTGCACCTATTATAATCTTAATAGTTCCATTTGTATTAAAGAAGACCTATTGTGTTTGTCTCTGTAATCTGTATATCCATATTTGGACTCTAAATACCTATATTCATCTAAACTTAATAATAAAAATAATTAAAAAAAAGTCTGCTAACTTTTGCCTTGGAAAACTGCACTGGGAATATACCTGTGGAGGTGAAAATAAGAATATGGTGTCTTGAAAATTTGTGATTAAAGATTCCTCAAACATGCTCGAATCACTCCAAATACAACTCTGGGTGAGTAAAAGGTCTGCTCTAAGATAGTTTGTGGTTTTCACCTGTCAAGACTTATATTTTGTAGACACTACAGGGATCCCCTCTGTATTTAACCCATGCTGTGCACCCAGGCATCTATCTCTAGCTCCATGGTTTATGATTCATGGTCAGGAGTGACTACCTAAATGTCCCTTTAAGTCTTTGAAGGCTTCTGTATGCGACGGGCAGCGGCTAAATTGTCAACGCCATAAAACCCTTTGTTACGGTAAAACCCGCCCCCTCTCTGTGCTGATTGACTGCTTTGCCTTTGCTCCGAGACCTGATTGGCTGAGAGGAACATTCTTCTAAGCCGGGGCGTGTCTATGTTCAAAGACAAGTGCAGAGACGCACGTGAAAACGTGGAGCTGGAGGAGGGACACACAGAGGACAGGAAGAGGCGTCAAAGTAAAATATAGTATATTGATTTTGTAGGCACTCATTTAGAGACTTAATACTTTTTGTTTTTACCCTCTACAGCTATTCTTGTTGCTCTTATTTTTATTTTTATTAGACCTATACATTGTTTCGTTGTTTTTGTAACTACCTTTTCTTAGAAATGATTTTATTTCAATTTTATTACTTTCTGCAATAACAATTGAATTACTCCAAGTTTTGTTCACAAAGAAAATGTTGTAATATCTCAGTAGTCAACCCAGTAAACTTTTTTAAGGTAAAAAAAAATCTTCCTGTTGAGAAAATTGAACTCTTTTAATGTGATCAAAACTATTCTTAACAGCTTGTATTGTTCTTGTATCGAAAGTCTGCTTACTTTTTCTTTCTTCTGCTGGCCTCAAAAACAAACTGCAGAACACTGTTAAAACCTGCTCAAAAGTCACAGGTGTCAAACTGAGAGAGGTGCATTCTCTGTGGGAGGAGCTGGTTCAGGACATAGACTGTATAGATAAATGGACACAACTAATGCTGTAGCTGCCGCCTTCCAAACAGGAAGTTCACATGCAGACTTTTCTGGATCCTACTGACCCTGACCTGCTGACTTACATTAGAATACTGTGCCCCCTCTCTCTGTAAATGCTGCTGTGAGCCTCATCATTTTGGTTTTAAAATATTCACATTAACCCGCTCTACATCTTGGTGTTTTTATCCCCGCTGTTTTGTCTGTTAAAAAAATCCTATTCATAATATAAAGCCTGGATCCAAATTAGCCCTTGTATCCATTAGGATTGAGAGCTTCATTTGAGTGAGGTTAAACGCTATGGATGATGTTACACTCGCTTAGTCCACTTTTTTCTACAGTCTATGGTGCTGACCAAAGCAAAGGGTCTCCTGGCTCCATCCTCTGGCCCCTGACCTTGTCCTGCTACCGTCTGTTATTAAATTGCTCAACTCTTGTGCTATATATATATATATGTATATATATATATATATATATATATATATATATATATATATATATATATATATATATATATATATATATATATATATATATATATATATATATTATATATTATATATTAATTTTTTGTGTATTGAGTTCCACTTGTAGACCGTAACAGACCGACACACTGTGTTTATGTGTGAACTGCTCTGAGAATGTTACAAATGAATGGTCTTCAGGGATCAATAATTTTTTCTGAATATGAATCAGATTTTTCTCACTCTCCCAGTATTTCCAAACTCTGGAGCAAATACATCTGTTGCCAGTTATGACCTTCTTGTTTCAATTAACCTATGTTAATGTCTATCCTCCACAACATTGCACATTAAGAATGCAAAAAGTACTATTTTAATCATACTATTTTATATTCAGCAATGACCAAATGAACTTTTCTTATTAAAAGTCCCACAAAGGTGTATTTTTTACAGGATTTTAAATTTAAACCTGGACAGTTCTATTCTGAGCTGATACAGGGGGTACACAGGAGAAAGGGAGCCTAGATGTTTACTTTAAGTTATTTCGTTCATTAGACATGATGGATGCAAATCAGGCAGTGAGAGCAGTAAACTAAAGATGTGTTTTATTTTGAAGGGTCACACCGGATCCAGTGTCTGCCTCATGTTTCGCTTCTCTTTTCCCGGAGATCACAGCGGTGCGTGGGGCTGGTTCTGTCCCAAGCGGAGAGCGCGTCCAGCGGGGGCATTAGTGTGCATCTGTCTCGGGCTCTAGAGTACTTTTTCCGGCGTGTTCTCTCTCGGCGTGACAGCGGTGTGTGGAGAAACAAAATGGAGATCGAGAAGGAAGTGAAAAAGGTACGAGTCATTTGTCTCGGTTTGGTGTTCCACTTGTCCCAGCGGTGAAGTGAAGAGGTAACGCCCTGAAAGGTGTAGCGATCCCGGGGCAGGTGGTAGCAGCAAGCGGGGGTTTTAGTTTCACTTTTACGGCACTTAAAGTGTAGTTTAATTTTCAGTATCATATTATTTGTGATGATAAAAATGCGTAAATCCCGTGCATAATGCTGGAGACGCGCTTTTTGTTTTGGTTTTGTAATGTCCTGACAGATCTAATCATGGTTAGCTTTTTATAGCACTAAGCTACATTGTCTTAAAGTCTTGCATTTTAACGCGTTGTCAACTTCTCCTTTCTAAAGTCTAAAGTGTAAAAGTATGTGTCATCAGTGCTAGAACTGATGTTTTAACCACAACTGTCATGTAACCATGATATTTTTAACTTGGAAAATGACTTTGGGTTGGAACAGCTCTAGAGTTTCTCCAACAAACTTTTTCGACATAAATGATGGACTAAAGTAGCAAGGACTAGACCAGGGACTAGACCAGGGACTAGACCAGGGACTAGACCAGGGACTAGACCAGGGACTAGACTAGGGACTAAACTAGGGACTAAACTAGGGACTAAACTAGGGACTAAACTGGTTACTAAACTAGAGACTAAACTAGGCACTAAACTAGAGACTAAACTAAAGCCTAAACTAGGGACTAAACTAGAGACTAAACTAGGGACTAAACTGGTTACTAAACTAGGGACTAAACTAGGGACTAAACTAGGGACTAAACTAGGGACTAAACTAGAGATTAAACTAGGGACTAGACCAGTGATTATAGGCCAGGGACTAAAGGACTAGACCGGGGACTAGACCAAGGACTAAAGGCCCAAACTAGGGACTAAGATAGGGACTATAGACCAAGGACTATAGACCAGAGACAAACCAGGGACTTGCAGGTATCAATCAAGGACAATTCATAACTAGGCCTATATCAAGAAGAAGGACTTTACCAGAAATAAACCAGGACTTGACCAGGAACTAGGACAGACTCCGATATATACCAGGGGTCTAAACCAGGACTAAACTAGGACTAAACGCCTCAATGTAGTCCAGGATGTGCTGTTATTTAGTGTTTAAAGTACTTTTGGACTGTGTAGTAGTCACATCTCAATGCAGTAATTGAAATGTTAGGAAGAAGTCCCCCTGCAGTACTCTTGAACAAGCTGACTATTATTATTATTAGTCCCTGCCTGACCATAATATTACCACATGAATCACACCTTTAATTAGGATTACACTCATATTTAATAGTCCTATGTATTTCCTGTGTGGAGGGTTTCCAGATGCATTCAATTGATGAAGTTTCATAGTTTAGGTATTAAAATAACCGAAATTCTTTTGCAAACACATAATCAAAAATGGTACTAAACCGGGAACTAAACCTGGACAAGATCCTCACCAAAACAGGAAACAACTCAACTAAATCTGCACGTGGATTAAGCCAGGATCAAACTAGGACAAGTCAGAATGTAGCCTTAATTCTCCTATGAGACTAACTTTTATTCCTGGTTTTTCTGTTTTAACCATATTTAGGTTCTATTCTACACCTGTCTGCTCCTGTTTAGGGCTGGGTATCATTGAGAAGTTGCCGATACGATACATACCTCGATATAAAGGCAACGATACAATACATAAATCAATACAGTGAGCTTTCGATTCAATACAGTATATTTCAAATCGATTCAATACGGTTCAATAAAAACTAATGGCTAAATCACTTCTTGTGCAAAGTTCATATGAAACATGCCCATTTTAATCATTTAAATAAGCAACAAAACTGTAGCACTGTAACAAAATAATTTAGTAAAATACACCAAAAAATACTCTGGACTATATATTGATAGAGCTGCCCATGATATTGATACTGTATCATCACTTTAAATGATACGATATATCAATATTTCAATATTTTTGCACACCCCATTCCTGTCTGCACCTGTTTCCTCTAGAGCTGTGCAAAAATATCCAAATATTGTATTGTTTAATGTGATGACAAAGTATCGATATCATGGGCTGCTGTATCTGTTGCTTCTGTGTGTATATATCGCCAAGAGTATTTTTTTTGTTGGTATCTTTTACTAAATTATTTTGTTACAGTGCTACAGTTTTGGGTTTTTTTGAGGAAGGAAACTTGTTTATGCAACACACTTGATATTTTCACTGTTTTGATGGTTAAAATGTCCGTGTTTTATATGAACTTTGCACAAGAAGTGGTTTAACAAAGACTTTTAGTATCACAGCCATGATTTAACTATTATTTTTATTGAACCGTATCAAATTGATTTGAAATTTATGATATCAAATCGAAAGCTCACTGTATCGAGATATGTGTCGTAACATGGTCTATGTATCGAGGTATGTATCATAGCAGCAACTTTGTCTCCTCGTCTGGCTTTGCTCCTGTCTGCTCCTGTCTGCTCCTGTCTGCTCCTGTCTCTGACCTGGATACAAGATAAACATCTGGCTTTAATCTGTGAATGAGAAAAGCATCATTACAACCTGTTTATTTACATGTACAGTTCAATTAGACCGGCCATTTTCTGCATTTAAACGGAAATAATAGACAATTTTGACAATTATCTAGCAAAAACAGAGATTACAGTATGAAAAGCCTATAATAAAACCAAACTGAACTAAACAGGGCTGGTCTTAAGTGGTCTATAATCAGGACTGAAACTCAAATGAACTAGAACCAGGACTGTGCTTAAAACGGCAGGAGATTTTTAATTGAGGAGAAAGTCAGATAAATGACTAAAAGTGAAAGATCGAGGATTAGAGGACGCATATTTGTAAATCGTGTCTAAATTGAGAAAATGACGACACCAGCTGAGAATGTGTCTATGTAAGAGGTCTGAAACAGCTGTCTCTTTCTTCTCTCTCTCCTCTCGTCCTCTCCCCCTGCTTTTCTGTCATTCATTTTTTTTCCTTATCCTCAAATCCCTCTTCTCTCTCTCTAACTTGCTACTCCTTTCTTTTCTCTCTCATTCTCCTCCGTACGCCTTTTGTCTGTCCTTTCTATCACCTCTCCCCGTCCTATCTCTCTACCCTCTAGCTCCATTCTTTCTCTTCTTCTCATTTCCACTTTCAACTCTTCCCCCCCTTCTCTTGTCTCCTAAATCTCCTCTTCTACATTTTTTTTCTCTCTGTATCTTTCTATTCTTCTCTCTCTTATCTTTCAATTTTGTTCTTCAGTCTTCCCTCTCTGTCTTCTCCACTTCCTTTTTATCTCTCTCTCTCCTCTTCTCTCTCCTGCCCTTCTCCCTTTCTCTCTCCTTCCTCTCTCAACTTTCTTCTCATCCCTTGCTACCTCTCCCATCTATGGCTAATCTCTTTACTGTCTTTCTTTCTCCCTCTCTCTTCACTCTCCTGTCCTCACTCTTTCCTCCCTACACTCTCTTATTCTTTCTTTCTCTCTTTCTTTCTCACTTTTTGCCACTCTCTATAATAATTCTTAATTATGGTTTTTAAATGCAATTTAACAATGATCATGCAGTAAATGCCTCGGAAATCCTCTCTTTCTCTCTTTCCCCGTCTCTCCTCCTTTAGCCCAAAACACTCTTTCGTTCCCTCTTTCTCTTCCGTCTTCTTTCTCCCGTCTCCACTAGCAATTACTGACCTAACTCAAACACTTTCTATGACTCAGATCTGAGTACTTTGCGGGCTGTGTCCCATTTGTCAACACATCCTCTCTGTCTCCTTTCCTCACTTCCTCCGCTCTTTGACCCTATAGATGTAGAGGAAAGATTGAGTGATTTATTTTAACAACAAAATTGCATAGGTCCTAAAAATTGACCCTGTTGAGCTTTTTGTCGTGTTATAATGTTGTTACCTCATCTGTTTCATTTACACATGTTTGAGTAACTCTTTTTTCATTAGTCTGTCTACTTCTCCAAAGCTCAAAATGCTGTGTTCCACCTTGTGATGTCATGAAGCAGTGGTTTTGAAGTTAACCGCTACCTTTTGACTTTTAATTCAGTTGGCAATTCCAGGGCTGAAATTATCCAAATGATTTTACTGAAGGTGTATGAATTTTAAAACACAGTGGAGCACTTCCTCATGACATGACAAGGTAGAATAGAGTATTTTCAGTTTGAGAGAAGAACTAAGAAGCCTAAGAAGTGTTTATACGAGAATGTTTGCGGGTAAAAACAATGAAATATGAAACAATGAAGTGCCTTTCGTTTAGACAGTGACTGCATTTTTAGGGCTTAAAAATGTGAAAAATCTGAAACTACCCACCAGAGTGGAAAAGTTGAATACACTCCGCTGTAGTGTTTCTGTCTACACTGCCTAAGACGCAAAACTCTGGTCAAATCTGCTCACGTCGCGTGGGATCACTAGGGCTGGGTATCATTAAGAAGTTACCGATACGATACATATCTCGATTAGGGATAGGCATTCGATGAAATTTTCTTAATCGATCGTCGGAAGAATTAAGGATCGATTATCGATTAATCATTAACGTTTTTATATTAAAATTATCATTATTATTACTATCTGCACTACTAATCTGCATAAATAAATTCAACTTTACGACATATAAACCGTAACCACTCTAGAGCCACATCAATCCGTTTGACATTATAAGCTTTGTGCAAGTCTCACAGAAACGAAACTTAAAACCGCATCGCTAATTTGCATAAACTCAGCGAAGATAAAACTACAGCTCTTGTGCGCTGATGCGGTCAACTTCTGTTGGATTAAAAGACATGACTCCGTGGAATAAAGGCTAGTGTGACCATATTTGCGTTTGTCAAAACCAGGACACCGTACGGGGGGAGGGAGGTGGGGACTCGTCATCGACATTGCGCGACTCTCACCCTGCAAAACCTTTTCCCACTAGAAACTGAAACATATGTTCCTGCTTTATACACTGTGCACATGGCCTCACACTTGTCCTGAACGCAACGGAAAGCGTGGAATTTTTTTGTACAAGTCATCGTTAAACACGCATTTGTGCTTCGGCACGTTGCAGACTGACCGACTGTTTGTGTCTCTCTCCTTCTGAGTGCAGAGAGCTACATGTACAGACCCCTGTTTGGTCACGCTACGCACAGAAACCTACATTCGGTTTGTCGATTAAAATTAACGTAATCGATGAAATTCTTAATGATCAATTATCGATTAATCGATTAATCATGCCCATCGCTAATCTCGATACAGTGAGCTTTTGATTTGATACGATATATTTCAAATCGATTTGATACAGTTCAGTAAAAAATGATGACTAAATCATGGCTGTGATTCTAAAAGTCTTTGTTAAACCACTTCTAGAGCAAAGTGAATATGAAACACAAACATTTTACTCATCAAAACAGCGAATATGTCAAATGTGTAGCATAAACAAAATTCTTTTCATTGAACAAGCAACAAACCTGTAGCGCTATAACAAAATAATTGAGTTAAATCTACCAAAAAATAGTCTTGGCGATATTTTGATGCAACAGCCCACGATATCGATACTGTATCATCACATTAAGCGATACAATATATTGATATTTTGATATTTTTGCACACCTCTATACATCACCACTTAGCGTCACCACCTAGCCGCCTGATGCATACCCAAGCGAATTTCACACACTTTAGCGTCACCATATGCACACAGATTTCTCCTGAAAACGCTCATCTAAACGCGGAACAAAAAGTGAAGACACGACACCACTTTTGCATCTTCTGTTCAGACCATCATCATATAAACGTAGCCTAAATATGCAGGGTTTGTGTGTTAAACATGTGTGAATGAAACAAAACACAACTCCTGTACGACCTGGCCTTATGCCAAAGCCCATCTTGCTGATTAAAACACTTTGGCGTCGCTTCTTATAATAAAGAACTTTTAACATATTCAGTCGGTGTGCCTCGGGTTTGTGTCGTGTAAGGGCAACATTCAGTTGACAACTCCAGGTCTGTTTGTGATGCGGAAACAACATTATAACATAGATCAGAAAATACCACAACATGGGACTTTTACACAGGAGCGTGACGACAGTGCACTGTGAATTGCAGTGCCAATTCACGTGGCAGGTGGGGGGAGTGGAGGATTATGGGGGATCTAGGAAGGAGGCAGCGGGAGACAGTTCTTAACCACACAAATATGTCTATCCTCTGAAGATGAGGTAATGGTGAAGGAAACGAGGAGACTGAGAGGAGACGAGTGGTGAGTAATGGGACGCAGCCCTATGATCATAGAATCCTCACATCTGTTTCTGAAGGAAGTGAGCTAACCCTCCAACTGCTATGAACGACATCACCATAGTTCTTGAAAATCCTCACTCCATATTGTTTTAAGTCACACGTAGAGTATCTAAATCCACGAATGTCCTGCTTGATCTTTTTTATTAGTGACAAGGTCCATTCTCACGCACCACAACATCTGCAGATTAACTAGAGACGTCTTACCTGTGTCTGTCTCCATCTAATACCATATATGAGGACAGGAGAGAGAGAAATATACCGTATTATAAGGCACACTGTCATTGAATGGTCTATTTTCAAACTTTTTTCACATATAAACCGCACCAGACATTAAACGAAACACAACAGTTAGATAAGTCAGTCAAACTTTATTTAACATGTTCACAATAGCTCTCAACTTTCTTCAATTGTAACGCTTAAAAAAAAATACTGTCTGAGACGCTAAATTGTTAGTGTATTCACAAAAACTCATAATTGTTCAAACAGTTGGGCGATTCCGGCATCCAGCACGCCCACAACCCTCTCGTCTTTATCCAAGTCAGTGTGGTTACTGTTACCGGGCAGTTCAGTGATGATTCTGGTCTTGGTGAAAGCTCGGACCACAGTTGATACTGATCCTTAGCCCAGGCGTCCACGATCCATTGGCAGATCGTGGCGTAAGTTGCTCGGCGCTGTCTCCCTGTCTTGGTGAATGTGTGTTCGCCTTCTCTCATCCACTGCTCCCACACAGCTTGCACTTTAACTTTATAATAGCCTTGAGTTTAAAGTCGGAGTCTCTTGACAGGTGCATTTTGATATTAAAAGGAATCACAGTATGTATTACTCTGCGATGCTCCTGACTACGGTAGCTGTAATGCTTCAAGTGGTGTGGCTTTGTACTTTACTAAAGTCATACTAAGACACGCGAATAAATTCATATATAAGGTGCTCTGGATTATAAGGCGCGCATTTGTTTTTTAATTAAATTAAAGGCTTTTAAGTGCGCCCTATATTGTGGAAAATACGGTATTAGGAAGTGAAGGCATCTTTAACAGGGATGTATCTGTGAGCATGGGAGGGCATCTGACACACTGGGCTATAACTTTTCTGTCTTGTTGTTTCAGATGACGCTCGGACATGAGTTCGGGGCTGGAGCTCCATGTCTCAAATGCAAAGACAAATGTGAAGGCTTCGAGCTGCACTTCTGGAGGTCTGTACCTGCTAATATAAACTTCATATTTAAAGCTGCATTATATAACTTTTCTGGTAGAGGGTACGCCACCTGCTTGTGTCCATGGAGGTGTTATTTCTTTTCACAGAATTTTCAAAAATACAGGATTAAAATGATTTATCTCCATGGAGTCAAGCATGCGACTCGACCACTTACAAGTTACAGGCAAGATCTGTGGAGGGGCAACTCTGCTCTCAGTCAGAACACATGTATTTCAAGATATTTCCAAGCAATAAAAACCTGTAAGTGAACAAATGTAAGATAGGTACGTCATACTGTGGGACCCTCCTGACGGTTATCAGTACTATCCTGTACAAGGTCCCGCCCACAAGCCTACAACACAATAACACAAAACATGATTCTGAAATGTACATAGCAACTTGACAAGAGCCTTTTTTTTTTGCGGTCTTGGTCTCGTCTCGGAATCAACCACGTTTGGATTCAGTCTCGTCTTGCTCTTGAAGGCACTTGGACTTGCTCTTGTCTCAGTCTTGAAGGCGCTTGGATTCGGTCTTGTCTCGGTCTTGAAGGTGCTTGGACTCGTTCTTGTCTCGATCTTGAAGGCGCTTAGATTTGGCCTTGTCTCAATCTTGAAGGCGCTTGAATTCGGCTTTGTCTCAGTCTTGAAGGCGCTTGGACTCGGTCTTGTCTCGGTCTTGAAGGCACTTGGACTCAGTCTTGTCTCGGCCTTGAGATCTGACTCTCATTGAGTGATTAACTGGAGATAGATTTATAAAAACATTGTTATATATGTGCCAAAATAACTCTAAAATACAAATAAATGTCAAAAATGACAAAGATGGCCTTGATTTGGTCTCGATAGACTGTGGTCTCGGTCTGGTCTCGGTCTCAACCCTCAAATGTCTTGGTCTTGTCCTGGTCTCGGGACCCTGTGGTCTCAGATTGGTATTGGTATCGATTATTGCGTTCTTGTGATGTTGTGAAGATTCAGAGCATCTAAAACTAAATGGAAACATATAAAACCCTTTAATATGTTGTTTTCAGCCAATATTTCAAATTAATTAAAGGTAACACTGTGATCTAAATATGTTGTGTTAGCAGTTAATACTCCGTAGAAGAAGAGAACTCTCTATAAGGTATTTTCTTTGAACTATTTATTTAATTCTTAAAAGCATAAAAGACAAACAGAAGTATCATGAAATTAAAACAAAGCGGAGCAAAGAGCAATTTTGACTGCTCTGTCTCTTTGCAGAAATCATACAGTGGGTCATTGTTGGTCTGAAAACCACTGATGGAAAGAATACAGAGGGGAGCGGAGCTGAAGTCTTTTTAAATGGATTAGTTTCATGTGATGGAGATTCACAGATGAACATAAAAAGGAAAAGGAAAAATGCATAAACGAACCAGAACTAACCCGAACAGACCTACCTCTCGTGACCATAGGAAATATGACATGTTATGGAGGATTAAAACAGGATTTAAAGAGACGGTATTGTGTAAAAGCCACTTATCTGAGCTTTAAATGTGTTATAATAGTGTTTCCTCATTATTTTACATGATTGTATTTTGATTGATTCATGCATGTTTCAGTAATCCTGTAAAGTCCTGTAATTTCAATTTTCACCCCCCATCTCCACCCTCTGTTCTGCACTTACTTTACATACTTGCAGCCAACACTTGTCGAAATTGCAGTAGTTATAATTTGACAAATAAAAATTTAAAACATGAAATCAGTGTTTTAAACTGTAAAACCTTGAATTGAGGATGGAATTTATGACGTTTGATGACATAGGTAGAGGGATTCTGTTTTTGTTTTCTACTTTTTTTTCTACTTTTCTTCACAAATGGATGTAAAACTAAGTCCTAATTAACCGTCATAATTAAAATATGTATTCATCTTTCAAATGCACTTTGAGCTTTAGATCAATATTGTGGTTTGGCTCTATCTACTATCTAGCACTAACTGAAAAGGAGGCACCACCTGATGACATCAACAGGTGGAATAGCAGTGGGCCATAATGACAAAAATCAAACACATACGGTATGTCAGTATATGTAGTTCCTGTCATTTAGTGTGGAGTGTTGCGTTCCCAGAGCAGGGCCGGGTCCTGCCTCAGCTCGTCTCTGAATCGTTCGTTCGTCATGAATGTGATCTCACATGTTCAGAGCCAAACGCTGTGTCAGGACAAGACGCTGAATTCACTGGAACACAGACACTACACAGATAACATACGATCTTAATAATCTGTTGATCTGCATGATGCTTTGACTGGAATGTTCCACAGAATAGCATTAAGCATATATTGTGTTTATTTAGTGTTTCTATAAGAAACATAAAAAAAAATATGCATTATGGTGAATAAACTCACTTCTCCACAGATCTGATCTGTAAGTTTCATCTGTTTATCTCCAAGGAGATGGAGATGCTTTAATGCCAAAGCAGTAACCTTTATTGATACAAGCAGAGGTCATCCACCAGAAAAGTTATGCAATTTTTTCAATTACCTAGTCTTTTATGTAACAGGAATGTTCTGCACATAATGGTTTGTTTGATATTGGTAATGTTTTGTAATGATTTGATTGTGGTACAACTTTGTTTTGACCATTAAAATAATACAATTTGTTCTGTTCTGTAGGAAGATCTGTCGTAACTGTAAGTGTGGCCTACCAGAGCATGACGTCCAGATGAACTCAGAGGAAGACAAGAAAGTGGGAAAACTCTTTGAGGACACAAAGTACACAGGTCAGACCCAAGGGGCCTAAGCATGGCCACCCATTCAAGTAAATGGACCGAATACAATGGCACGTCTTTAGATCAGCCTTTAGTGGTACATCGGGTGGCTCTCTTGCCGCCAACTGCTCTGACCAATCAGAGAGCGAGTGCCTAGAGGAGAGCAGAATGATCTGAAGCTCACGACTGAGGCAGTTTGTAAAACAACTGAAACTGAAGTTATCAATAGCTTCATGGTCAAACCTTAACCTTAGCTTTAGCAACAGTGCTCAGAAGCTACTCAAAAAGGTACAATATCTATTGGTCTAATCTTAATTCTTAATATTTTGATCACTGCATTTGGCAGTTTTGACTATGAGACATCATGGTTCTGTTTCTTTCTTGCTGATTGCCACAGGGCGACGCTAAAAGCACTGAAAAGCAGCTCTGTGTTGCACAACAAATTGTGCAATACTTGAACCTCAACCAAGACATTTACCGGCACGTTTTAGCACATTTCTGATGGCAAAAATGCCATCTGTTTAATGTTATTTGGAAATATTCAGTTTTAGTGTCTAGAGCTGTAGTACCACAAAATATCTGCATAAATTGTCATGTCCTCTGATGTCACCTGAGACCAGCTGTTTGTTTGAATCTTTGTATGTCCAGGTCTGATCGCCAAACTGAAGCGTGATGGTATCCCAGGACAACAGTCCAACATGTCCATCACCATTAGTGTCCCAGCCTCCTCCATGGCCCAGATCGTGCCCCCTTCTCTGGGTACCTCCACCCTAGTGCCCCCCTCCCAACTGCACCCAAATGCTTCACCCTCTAGCTCCGGCTACTCCTCCATCAGCTCCTCCACGGGCTCCATTCCCGGGGCTGTGGCTGGTACTGGTTCTGCTGCAGGATCAGGGTCAGGATCAGGACCAGGTTTTGGGGCTTCAGCTGGATCTCAGGCAGGATTTGGGTCCAGAGGAGGTCCGGGGTCTATTGGAGGAGCTCAACCAGGTTTTGGGGCTTCAGCAGGGTCTGGTCCAGCTTTTGGCTCTGCTGGGGGGCCAGGGTCTGTAGGAGGATCTGGACCAGGTTTTGGGTCTGCCGTGGGTCCAGGGTCTACATCAGGATCTCGGACAGGTTTTGGGTCTTCAGGAGGAGCAGGGCAAGGATTTGGTTCTTCAGGAGGTCCAGGGTCTACAGGAGGTCCAGGGTCTACAGGAGGTCCAGGTCTTGGTCCCGGAGGGGTTTCAGTAAATCTAACCCCAGTCAGGGCGAGTGCCATGCCGATCTCTGTCTCTTCTTCGTCCTCCTCTGTGGAGCAGGTTCCCAAAGACACTCCCATGAAGTCTGTCACCTTCGAGTGGGCTCCTCCTGTCGCCAACAAACACGTGGTGAGAAACTTGAGATACAGCTTTACCTTATTGTTAATCATTTTTGGTTCTGGATGTAAAATTGTCCTTCTTCTAAAATCATGTAAAATTGACTCAACAATGAAATGAAATACAATGAAATTCCAAATCTTTCATTTTCTGATCAAATGTGTAATCAAATACACTTACTCTTGTAATGCTCTTTACAGGTTTGTTAAAGCTTTGCAATCCCCTACACAGGGGTGTCAAACTCAAATTCACAGAGGGCCAAAATTTAAAAACTGGGACAAACTAAATATTTATTGAAAAATTTCAACAACATCTACATGTTTTCTCTTCTCGAGATATGTAATAGATATGTTATACCTTTTCTAATTAAAATAAATAATAGTTAAAAAATATGCTTTATATATATAATTTGCTTAAATATTTAATCCAGAACAAGCATAATATAAAATAAAAACAAAATAAAAAAATAAATTAAAAATGCCTCTATAGTCTATCTGTAGCTGGCTGGCCACCTCTAATACATCACCTGCAGTGCCTGGTATGAAAGTGGTGTGTGCATGAGTGATGGTGGTGTTCAGGGGGTCCAATGGTCCAGATTGGACCATTCCCTAAGTGTGCCCCAGGGCAGCTGTGGCTACAGAAGTAGCTTACCACCAGCGAGTGTGAAGTGAATGAACAATGACCTGTAAAGCGCTTTGGGGCGGCAGTAGCTCAGTGGGGCGGCAGTAGTTCATTCGCCCACTGATCTGAAGGTTGGTGGTTCGATTCCAGCTCTCGACAAAAACATCACAGGTTGAGCGGTCAGATCCACTGACCCACATGTTGGCTGGTGTGATTCCAGCTCCCACAGATGAATGCTGTTGTTGTGTCCTTGGGCAAGACACTTAACCCACATTGCCCTCAGTGTCTGCGTACACTGGTGTGTGAATGTGTGTGTGAATGGGTGAGTGGTTCCTTGTTGTAAAGCGCTTAGAGTGCCTTGAAGGTGGAAAAGCGCTATAGAAAAATGTGACCATTTACCATTACCATTACCATCTTGAAAAGCGCTACATAAATGCAATGATAATTAATTAATTAATTAATAACAATCATTCAAAATGTTGCATCTGTTGTAGGTTTGACCACACCCTATTTTTTTTATTCTAAAAAAAAAAATCTTGTCTGGTCTCATTATCTTGGACCCAGTCTTGTGTCTCTTCCTGTGGAATTGTATCGTCCCACCTCTGCTGTACATACATCTTTTCAAAACATTATTGGGAAACATTATTCAGACTTTTACTTCTGGCCTCTTCCCACAGTTGAGTTCTATTCCCTCATTTTTTTTCTATGTTCTTGTTTTGTCTGCACATTTTAGACAGAGCTTGTTCCTGAAGGACAGTACTTTAATGTTTTACTTATTCCCTTGATAACCTCACCTTGGTTTTCATTCTGCCTCTCCTCTCCTTACTCCACTTCTTCTTTGGGTTCAGAAAGTCTCATTTAGTTGTATTTTTTGTATTTCTTTCTCTCTCTAGGCTATCCGATACATCGAGCTCCTCCCCCCCGAGAGACGCCCTATCGCGGGTACAGCGGGCGCTGCGTACCGGAGGCAGCAGATGGCCAAACAGCTCCCAGAACACGACCAGGATCCAAACAAGTGCCACGATCTGAGCCCCAATGAAGTCAAGCAGATGCAGCAATACGTGAAGAAGTACAAGGACGAGGCTCTGGGGGTGGGAGATGTGTGTCTGCCGCAAGAGGTAGCACTGGCCGCGGGTAGAGGCGAGCTGAGGGGTGGGGGTCCTGGAGGTGCTGGATCTGGGCCAGGGTCTGGACCAGGGTCTGGACCAGGGTCTGGACCAGGGTCTGGACCAGGGTCTGGACCAGGGTCTGGACCCGGATCAGGTCTTGGAGGAGGGAATGTGGGGACAGCAGCCGCAGCAGGAGCAATAGGAGCAGGAAATCAAGCTGGAGGACAACAGAACTTTGTAAGTACACATGATTCATATTTTCATGTAAAGGTGCACTTTTGTAACTTTTTAGTGGAAGGTCAGCTACCTGTTTGTCTCCATGGAGATGTTATTACTTTATCAGGAATGTTCTACAGTATAGAATCAAACTTGTCTCTCTACAATGAATTCAATTTTAATTGCTATTACAAATACCATGAAAAACTGTTGGTGAGTGGGGCCGCCATTCCACAGATCTCGGATCTCATTTATAAAGCTTGTGTGCTTAGATGAATTTCTCCACAGATTTGAACTGTAACTTTGCCTAGTAATGTCACCTGCTTGTTTCCATGGAGATGGATAACTTTAATGCCTTTAATGATGTGGCGCATTCCAGAGCAAATTTATAACGTCTGTGGAAGTCATCCACCAGAAAAGTTACACAATCCACTATTTTTTTTTAACTACAATGTAATGTATAAAAAGACAGCTTTATATCGAAATGAGTGGTCTTGTTCAAAAAGCATTGGGGCTTTTAGAGATGAGGCAGAAGGAGATCTGAGCTCAGAGAGATGAGAATTGAGCAAAAGAAGTTAGAGATTAGAGAGAAGTTAGAGAGAAGTTAGAAGTTTGTGCTTTGCCCGTACTTACATTTTTAGTAAGAATTCAAAGACTTTATAAATGTGACCCTTGACCTGTAACTAGAGACAGACTGATATAAACAGATCTATTGGGCCGATATTTCCACTTTTAGTGCATCGGCTATCGGCCTTAAATTTTCAGCAAATTTTTTTGGCATCGGCCTTGAAAAAACTCATATCCATCAATCTCTACCTGTAACCTGTCTCCTGTTTGTCTCCATGGAGGGGGGACTCTAACAACAAAAGTATAGTGGTAAAAAAGTAAAATATTTCTTTTAACATAAGAAATTTACCTTAAATTGACTCTTGTGAGCTTTAAGTCATGTTATAATGTTAATTCATCAAAACATATGGTACCTAAAGTTGTGTTTAGTTTTATTCACACGTGAGTAACCCTATTATGAGTCTGTCTACATCTTCAAAACTCTAAATGCTTTTTTCACCTTGTGATGTTAGTTAACAGCTACACTCTACCTTCAGTTTAGTAGAGACTGGCAATTCCAAGACTGAAATCAACAAAATCATTCTAGTGAAGGTGTATGTAGTTTAAAAACACAGTGGAGCACTTCCTTTATTACCACAGACATCACCTTTACAGTTGAGACCAAAGGTGAAGACAAACTGCTATATAAACTAGTAAATAATGTCTGTGAACACCAGGTGGCATCCTTTATCTACATTTAAACCCATGCCTTTTCCAGAATAATTATGCCATGACTCAGAATCTCCTGTTCATTTTATTCATGCCACAGTTTTTACAACAAACAAACTTCAAAACTGGAATTATGGAGCCGCAGATGGAGGATAAAGTCTGATATTGTGCTAAAATGAACCCGGAAAACCTTTGTCTGAAACGTCGTATTATTGTGAGATCAAAGAGGGCGATTCTTGGAGATGAGAAATATTGTTTTTTGTTTGAAAGTGGAAAAAGCGCTTGTCCAAAATGGTCAAATCTGAGAGGGGGGGAAACAGCTGCAGCCAAATGCGGATTTATTTTACACAAGGGCACAAGAAACAAAGCAACAAACAAGAAATATACTGGGATTTGGAAAACTAGAGACAATAAATATATTTGGTCCAAGTGGAAAATTCAGTTCATGTTTATATAGTATAGTTGTAGTGGACAGTGTTTTCACGATACAATAATATGAAACTGTTTGAAAATTTAATACTAAGGAATAGACTTGATATCACAATGAGAATAATAATTGTAAAAACTCTTGATTTAGATTATTTACCCAAGTTGTTATTTACTAATTTACTAGTCTATGTGCTCTTATACTTGTTCTGATACAGCTCAAGATCATTCTAAAGCTGTTCAGGAAAGGGTAATTTCTCTGCTGTGAATGTGACTTTTTAAAAAATATTGATACCTGCTCAAATGAGCATTTCGATACTAGTTTTAGTATTTAGATTTTCAATACATACCTGCTGTGAATATAATTATGATCTGATAACCCACATCTTGGCAAGATGGTTTAATATAAGACCAAATAGTCAATACTCTACTTTTGCATATCTGATTATTAAAAAAATGCTATTTTCTAGGGTTGTAACAATAACCGAAATATTGTGATTAGGGGTGTCAAATTATCGCGTTAATTGCGATTAATTAATTACAGTCATATTTAGCGTGTTATGTTTTTTAATCGCGTTAATCTAATTTTTAATCTCTAACTTTACTGTTTCTGTATGCGATTTGCTTTATTATAAAATCTGTTTTTATGTGTTGCTGGGATACAACACACACACAAAAACACATTTATACATTTTTTTATTTCGGTAATTCCACTCATTGCCGGAAACCCACACAAAACGCGCGCAGTAAGAGCGATGTAAACGTTATGGTAACGTTGGCAGCGTCAGTCACACAATGGACGAGGTCGAAGAGCCAGTAGAACAGAGGCAGCAGTGCACAGGTAAAAACACATTCGTGTCTTGGAAATTATTCTCCCGACGTGAAATATAAAAGAAAATAACAAATATAATATCGCCTACAACTTAAATGTCACTGGTGAAAACAACCTGCATAGGCTCATGATGTCTGCACTACTGTCCTATAGTGACCTGCCACATGAGGGGACACACACACAAACACACACCTTCATCATCGTCATTAACCTGAGAACGCGCGGACCACGTTTCCTTCCGTAGTTACTGCGCGGACACCGACGTGCTCCCGTGAGCCGCGTGTGGATCGTGTTTTCTCGCATATGCTGCGTAAACCGCGCTTCCTCTTGTGCGCCTCTAAACCAGAACTAACACCAAGACTAAAACCAGGACTAATCCAGTCCAGGACTAAACCAGAACTAAACCAGAACTAAAACCAGAACTAAAACCAGAACTAAAACCAGAACTAAAACCAGGTCTAAACCAGGACTAAACCAAGGTCTAAACCAAGGTCTAAACCAGGACTAAACCAGGACTAAACCAGAACTAAAACCAGAACTAAAACCAGGTCTAAACCAGGACTAAACCAGGACTAAACCAGAACTAACACCAGGACTAAAACCAGGATTAATCCATTCCAGGACTAAACTAAGACTAAAGTAGGACTAAAGCAGGTCTAAACCAGGACTAAAACAAGGACTAAAACCAGTGATCTCATATATAAAGCATTTCTCTATCAATAATATTTTTAATATGGTTAAGGAAAGACTGGACTTTTTATTGTCTTTAAGTAGACAAAAGTTATTATGTTCAGATTTCCTCGTCTTTGCTACTTTACAGCAAACAGTTTCTTATTCATGGAGACTTGGGCTCAACAGCCAATTTGGAGAGATTTGTTAAACAATAAATGACTTTATAAAGTCACTTTTTTTGTTCTATATCAGTCTTTTGATCTGCCACAATAATGTAATAATGAATTTAAATGAAAATACCTCAAATTGAAGCTTTTCTCAGCAATTTTTAGATGAGATTAAAATGAGATTAATTAGATTAATTAATTACAGATCATAATTAATTCATCTCTCAATTTTTTTAATCACATGACAGCACTAATTGTGATATCGTATGGTCAAAAGTCTCACAATAATATCGTGGGCTCACAATATATCAAATTACAAGTTCCTTTGCTTAAATGCATTGTTTTATAGAAGCAACATAAGGAACTACATATCCCATGATTCATTTCAGTGCAGACAACATGAAGAGACATGTTTTTTACTTGAATTCTTGGGATCATGACGGAAATAATTCACACCTTGTCAAGGTATTTTAAAAGCAAAAAAGTGTCCTCTCTACAAGTATATCAGTCTCTTCACAATATTCCAATAAATATTGTTCCGTGAAATGCATATCGTGATAATATTGTATCAAGAGATTTGGATATCGTTGCATCCCTACTGTTTTCTGATCTATGTTGTAATGTTGTTTCCACATCACAAACAGACCTGGAGTTGAGTTTTGTTTCATTCACACATGTTTAACACACAAACATATTGCATATTTAGGTTGAGTTCTTCTTTCTAACTGAAAACACCCTGTTCCACCTTGTGATGTGATACAGGAACTGCTTCACTGCATATTTAAACTCTATACACCTTCACTAGAATCATTTGGATCATTTCAGCCCTGGAATTGCCCATCACTACTGAACTAAATGTAAAAGCTGCTGTTAAGTTGAAAACTACCACAGCATGACGTCACAGTGTAGAACAGAGTATTTTGAGCTTTGGAGAGATAAACAGACTAATAAAGGGTTACTCGAACGTGTGAATGAATCTAAACACAACTCCAGATATATTTTTGAGGAGGCAACAGCATTATAACATGTCTTAAAGCTCACAAAAGTCAATTTTGTGTAATATAGGACCTTTAAATCATCGGTTCCTCTAATGTTTCTCCTTCATGTCTCGTTTGTCCCCTCAGATGTGTCATCAGTGCCATGGACCAATGAGAATGGGCGATCCTGCTGTGTATGCGGAGAGGGCAGGGTATGACAAAATGTGGCACCCAGCGTGTTTCGTGTGCGTCACCTGTCAGGAGCTGCTCGTCGACATGATCTACTTCTGGAAGAAAGGGAAGATGTTCTGCGGTCGTCACTATGGCGACAGCGAGAAGCCGCGCTGTGCTGGATGTGACGAGGTATGTCCACAAGGGGGTGCTGAGAGATATGTGCGTGTGTGTATGTGGGGGGGTGGGACTGACTGTGCAAATCTATTTACACAATTATATTTCTAACATGTTTAGTGTTTATACAGGGTGTCCAAATATTTTTGACATTTCTTGTTGAAATAACTAAAGGATCTGGTACACCACACCATCATTTGAGGAATAAGAGTTTACAAACTTGTTCTCCTTATGGACTTCTTGGGGATTTGCAAGAGTTTTTCACAAATTTGCTTGACCTTCTCTTTTGATGTCGATGTTTGTCTACCAGTTCCTTTAGCCTTGCATAAGCAGCCTTCCTCTTTACATTTTTGGTGCCAAGTCCAAATTTGTTTGCCATTTGGTAAAGTTTTTCCAAATTTAGCATTGAAGACTGCACAGTCTTCACTGTGTGCAAGCAGATTCCAAGACGCAGAATGACTTCTCTTTGGGAGTCAATGACATGGCTCAACCTGAAAACAGAACAAAAATAAAACATTAAATATAAACTCTGTTTTTATAAATGCATTGAAAATTTGTGGTTATATAAAATTATTGGCCTGTGAAATTATGTCAATTTTTTTGGGACACCTTGTATAATTTACTTCAAAATAATCTGTCTCCTATCCATGGCTTTCAGAATTGAGATAAATTAGGACCGTTGCCATAGTGATTAACAATTTAGAACAGAATACTATTTGTTATGATGCCAAACAATCTGAGAAGAAACTGTCTTTCCTTTAAAGGGAAAATGAGATCTCTCTCTGCAGGTTAAGGCTCTGGCAACACAGATTCAGTTGTGTTTTAATTTAACTTTTAAACAGTAAGGGTGCAGGCTACAGACAAATGCTTTAAACCTATCCATCTTTCACAGCCTGTTTGCTTGTTGTTCTCAGTTGATCTTCTGTAACGAGTACACTCAGGCCGAGGGGCACGACTGGCACCTCAAGCACTTCTGCTGCTTCGACTGTGACTGTGTGTTAGCCGGAGAGACGTACGTGATGGAGAACGAGAAACCAGTGTGCAAGCCCTGCTACATGAAGAGCTACGCCATGGTGAGGACATATTACTACTACTAATACTACTACTATGAGTCCTCCTGTTTCTACTGTTGGCTCTTTGCATAATGGCACCCGGCTAATCACGGTCAGTTCCACTGTAATGTAATCCCTATGAGGTTTTTGCCAAGTCACTCTGAAATCAATAAATCCACAGATCAGGCAGTGGACAGGGAGCTGCAGGTACATTTGAATACAAGTTAGCATTTTCCTTGAGATATTAGGGTGGAAATGACGTGATTACTGCTCTACCTGTCTGGAACTACCCAGGTGCTGTTGTGCACAAAGCCTATTGCAACAAGGGAAAGAAATGCACCTAAAGCTCACTATAAACCAGGGGTCTCCAGTCTTTTGCCTCAGATGAGCTCCTTTACAAAATTAAAATCAGAGAGCTACTTGGACATTTTCATATACTCTGGCAATGTCCCAAGATCACCCCCTATTGGACAGAAATTATTAAAACCATCAAGCTTATTACAGGATTGCAACTAAAAAAAATTTTTTTGCGTGTTTTATGTGGGAAACTTACCACCCGGGCTGAAAAAAAAAAGACAGATACCTTCTTCAAATACTACAAGCAGCCAGCAAGAAAGCGACCACACAAAAATGGCTCCAGGACAAACCTCCTACTGTTTCAGAATGGACTGATATAATCAACGAAATTCAGATTATGGAACGAATAACATTTTCTTTAAGACACTCCTCAGACAAAGGAGAACTATACTGGAAAAAGTGGAAATCTTACAATCAAAACAAAACTTAATGTAAAAATGTTTTATACATCTTAGCAGATGTCACTAGCTTGATGGCCTCGTATTTTATTTCTATTTATTTTTTTATTTTTCCATTTTTGGTTGGTCTTTTGATTTATTTTGTTTCACAATATGAATAATATGTGTATGTAAATATGTGAAATGTGATATACATAACTAAAATGTCCTAATAAAAACAAAGTTTAAAAAAAAAATATAAAAAAAATCAGAGAGCTACTCACTTTAGCAGTAGCAAGAAATTGAGAAAGTACAAGGGCCATGGCAAGCCTTAGATAGAGTACAGTTGCTGCTTATAAAACATAAACCATTATCCATTTGTTAGTGCACAAGTTAGGTATCAAAATTATGCATGTCCAAAGGTAAATAATCTGATTTTAGTTAAGCACAATATGTATAATTCAGAAATTCCTTGGGGAGCTACTTGGAAAGGGGTGGAGAGCTACTGGGAGCTCCCGAGCTACAGGTTGGAGACCCCTGCTATAAACTGTACCCATGATCCTTTATTAACAGCGCACTATTTAGCTTTTCTGGTGAAGGATACACGACCCGCTTATTTCCATGGAGATGTTAATGTGCTAAAAATGTTCCAGAGTATTGCAACAAAATGAACTACCTGCACCTGTAATTGATGGATTTATTGATTTATTGGTTTATTGGTTTGATGTCATTCTCTTCTATGGGAAATCTATAACATCTCTATGAAGACAAGCAGATAAAAGATTCTCTGCCAGAAAAGTAGTGCATCTTTGTGACAGAACAGTAAACTATAAGAAACATAACACATGTATATTTCTCTCTTCCTCTCTCAGAAATGTTCTTCGTGCCAGTTGCCCATAGAACCAGAGGCTCAGAGAGTGTCTTATGGTTCTCACTGTTGGCACGCTGAGCCCCAGTGCTTCCAGTGCTCCGGCTGCTCCCAGTGCCTCATGGGAAAACGCTTCATGGCTGTTCAGAACCACCTCTTTTGCTCCGTGGAGTGCAAGAAGAAAGTCATCACCTAAAGAGAAATAAACATCAAATAAAATGTAACGAACCCCATTTACAGTAAGTCAGGACTAGAATATTTGTGTTATGGTGACTTTAAGATTTTCAAATGTGTTGAGTCCTGGAAAAGGGCAGAAATTACAGTAATACATTGCGTTTACATGATATGACAATATTCTGTTGACCTGGTTTATGGTTCATGTTTCTGTAATCACTGGGCCTATCCACATGAAACTAAAACTGGCACAAAGTTTGTCTTCTCTTCCTGCAGAAATAAACAACAGTCAAATTATTCTTTCACAATAGCTTCATTTAGGTACAGAGCAGTGGGCATATCACTCAAACATGCACAATCACTCTAAAGACACATTTAAACAAAGCTGATTTTGCATAGTAAATTGCCTTAAAATCTCAAGTTTGACATTTCGTTAGTGCCTATATACTGTAGAATTGGTTAATTCTGTTTGTTTTTTTACTTTTGAAAGTCAGTCTTTTCCTCAGGTCTTTCTATTCTGTTTTCTACTTGCAATTCATTTTGGATTTTTACAGTGATCTTTAGCTGTTTCAATTCATCTTTTTTAGCATTTTTACTTTGGAGAAAATGGATTCATAACTCTCAGTATTAAATAGAAAATCCAAGTGCTTCCATGTTTTTCATAAGATTAAAATAAAATGATTGTAGTTCTTCTAAAACTGCTGTAGTGCTTAAAACAGCCAATAAACTGCACTTTGTAACACAACACATGGTTCTTTGATTTTTATAACGCACTAACACACATCTGGTCATTTCTTCACTTATTCAACATTGTATTTACCAAACCATCAATTCTGCATTCAGACTAAACTTTTTTTGAACAGTTTTACCACATTTAAAGATTTTGAAAGTCACTCCCCCTTCAGAGCGCTTTCATAACACAAGCAGCGTGCATGAAACTATGGCACATCACATCAGGTTTATTAAATTGTAGTGTATTGCTTTATAGAGTAGATTAGATTAGAAAACTGTTTATCCCCATTGGGAAATTTTGTTTGCGGCCACAGATCACAGCATAAAAAACACACACATACATTTCACACAGGTCAGGTGCTTGTGCAATTATTAGTGCAAATGAGGCATAAAGTGCGGTAAAAAGAGAATAAAAAAGACACTTGGCACAGCCTTCTTCACCTCTGTGTTTAGGAGCCAAATGGCAGAGGGAATAAAGGAATTGGCAAATCTATTTGTTTTCCTGCTTGGGGCAAGGTAGCGCCTCCCAGAGAGAATCAGGGAGAACCTCTCTTTTAAAATGTGATCTGTGCTGCCAGTGATACCTTCTGGAGCACCTGCCTGCCCCTATAAAGAGCTGAGGTTGGACATCTGCACACCTATTATGTTTGAGCACGTTTTTACAATGTTGTTCAGGCTGTTTTGTTTATGACTGAAAAGGTTAAAATGCTCTCAATAAAGGAATGATAAAAAGCACACAGTACTGGTTTAGACATTAAAAGAGTTGAGTTTGCGCAGCAGGTGGATTCTCTGTTGACCTCTTTTTGCAATACATTTTGTGTTTTTGTCAAACCCTAGCTCTGACTCAAATACTGTGCCTAAGTATTTGTCAGAGTCCACCATGGCCACATTTCTTGACCTCATGATCTGAAGGTTTTTTCCCGAAGTTAACTATAATTTCTTTGGTTTTTGACACATTCATATCCAAGTAAGTTATATCCTTCTGTATATTTATAGAGAAGTGTGGGAGTTTTGGACAGAATATTACAGCTCACAAGAGTCTGTTTTGCGTAATACCGATACTTCAGTGACATGACGCTGGGGGTGTTGTACATGTATCTCTATTGGTGGAATGTTCAGAAGTTACCATGGTGACACAAGGCAAACATAGGCAAAAAAGTTTGTCTGACAACAAAAGAAAAAACCCCAGCTTGATTTATCAAATTGTGATCAATACAACAATAATAACAAATCTTTATTTAGAAAGCACTTTTTAAAACAAGGTTTACAAAGTACTGTTCAAGAAGCAAAGAACAATAGAACACAGAAAGCATACAAACATAGACAATGATGCAAATAAACCAATAAATTATAATAAGTAAAAAGAAACTGAACTAAATAAATAAAGAATAAAATAAAGTTAAAACCAGTTATAGCAGACATGTCAAACTCAGGCCCGGGGGCCAAATTTGGCCTACGATATAATTACATTTGGCCCACGACATCATATCAAATATGTATTAGAGCTGCCCGTCGGTTACAGATAGACTATAGAGACACTATTTAGTGTTGCTATTATTTGTATTATGCTTGTTCTGGATTCAAAGCAAAACTATAAAAAATGTATTTTAATGAGAAAAGGTTTAACATTACATATCTCAAAAGAAAACATGCAGATATTGTTGAAATTGTTCAATAAATATTTAGTTTGGCCCGTGACTTAGTCCCAGTTTTTAATTTTGGCCCTCTGTGAATTTGAGTTTGACACCCCTGAGTTATAGGAAGACCGACCAATAAAAATGGGTTTTAAGAAGTGATTTAAAAGATGATACTGATGGTGTGAGCCTTATCTCCTCAGGCAGGTTCCAAAGCTGAGGCGTCCGGACTGAAAAGGCTCCATTACCTTCGTCCGGAGCCTGGACTTTGGAACAGCCACATGGACCTGCCTGAGGATCTGTGGCTGCGGGAGGCTCGTACGGGGTTAAAATTTCTGAAATGTAACTTGGTGCAAGACCTAAATGAACTTTAAAAGTGATCAGTAAAATCTTAAAACCGATTCTAAAACACACAGGCAGCCAGTGAAGGGAAGTAAAACAGGAGTAATGTGTTGATGTCTGTTAAATCCAGTGAGGAGCCGAGCTGCTGCTTCTGAACCAGTTGGAGGCGGGAGATGGATTTGGAGTCGAGGCAAGGTGGAAGTTGAGGTAACAGTCAAAAATGAGGCAGAGGTTTCTGGCAAAAGGAGTGATGTTGGGAATGAGAGGACAAGTGTTCATGGTCCCACTGAGGTGTTTGATTTGACTGTAATTTTATGTGTTAAAAACTTGTTTAACAGTCCACAGCTCACCTAATCTTAGTATCATAGTACTCCAGACTGGTCTTGGTCTCAATGAGTGATAAAATGGAGATAGATTTATAAAAAAAACATTGATATATATGTCATGCCAAAATAACTGTAAAATTCAAACAATGTAGAAAAGTACAAAAATGGTTTTGACTGGGTCTGGATGGGCCGTGGTCTTCGGTCTTGACCTTTAAAAGTCTTGATCTTGTCTCAGTCTCGACCCTCAGAGGTCTTGGTGTTGTCCTGGTCTCGATTAGAGCGCTCTTGACTACAACACTACTTAATCTAGTTACAGCCAAGTCATTTCTCTCTCTTCCGACTGTATTAAAATAAAGCTCCGATTAACTTTAGTAAACAGAGCTTCAGACAGAGCAGTGCTTACAGTTAGCTTCACACCCCCAGGGAATGTTGATGAGATATGGGACCTTTAGGTGTGTTCTGGAATGTTCTCAAGAGTCAAGACCTTCTCCTGATCTGACCTTTGAGTGAATGCTTTTTCCTGGAGAGAATCCTGCCCATTGTTTTTTAGAATGGCCTATTTACACCTGTGACCATGATGTGATCTGTTCTTGTTTTATGTTCTGGAAAGAAAGAGAGAGAGAGAGAGCAGGGGGGTGGGGTCACGGATGGAGAGAGAGGGAGAGGTGGTGGTGAGGGGGTGGAGAAAGAGAAGGAAGGGGGTGGAGAGGGTAAGGGGATAGAGAGAGAAAGGAAAGGTGGTGACAGAGAGGGGAGAGGAAAAGCAGGGAAGAGGGAAGAAAAGAAGGAGGTAGAGATGGAGAGCTATAGAAACAGAGATAAAGGGGAGGAGAGGGAGGGAGTCAGATAGAGGGGGAGGAAGGGTGGGGAGGGAGAGATGGAGGGAGAGAGAGGAGAGGTGGTGATCGAGAGAGGGAGGGGGAAGAAAGAGAGGAAGAGTGAGGAGAAAGAGAAGAAAGGGGGTGGCGAGAGAGGGAGTTAAAGATAGAGAGAGAGGGGGGTGATGGAGGAGGGGATAAAAGGAGGGTGAAAGAAAGAGATGAAGGGAGGGGAGGGAGAAACGAAGATAGAGGAAGGGAGGGAGGAAGAAAGAGGAAGAGTGAGGGGAGGGAAGAAGAGATAGCGTGGAAGTTGAAGAGAGAGATGGAAGAGAAGGACTGGGTAGGGGTCAGGGATGGAGAGAGGGGGAGAAAGGGAGGGAGGTTGAGAGAGATGAAGAGTGGGGGGGGAGAGGAAGAAGTGGAGAGAGAGATGGAGAAAGTGAAGGAATGGAGAGGGTTAGAGGGGGAGAAAAGGAGAGCTGAAGAGAGAAAGATTGAGAGGAAGGGGGGGAGAGAGAGAGAGAGTTGGTGTGTCCCCGGTGGAAAAGAGTGGAAGTGTTTGTGAGTGTGGGACAATGAGAGGAAACACACACTCAGAACATGTACTGTGTTAAAGAGAGAGACACTCAGAACATGTGTTGTGTTAAAGCAGGGGTCGGGAACGTATGGCTCACGAGCCAGGTGTGGCTCTTTTGATGATTGCATCTGGCTCGCAGATAAAACATCAAATGTTCTCACTTGTTTTAGGCTACATTTACACAGAGCCGGGTATTTTAAGAAACAAATATTTCCCTCCCTCTGTTTTCCAAAATAACATCGTGCACAAAGCATCGTTTTCAAAAAAGTTTTCGTTTACATCAAGCCGCATAAATACGACATCAAGCGCCGTCATAACTACACCGAGCCTCTGGGAGCAGCTGGATTAGATTCAAACCTGTAGCATTTTTTCAGTTGTAAGATTTACTCAAAAATACCTTGAAAAACATGCATTAGTGAGCGGGCTCGCCTCTCCACAGATCTGTTAAAGAAGTGGCAAAATCACTGACCTCTGAGCCCTTGTTCATCTCTGCTCATGGACATGATCCATCAGCTGTGTGCAAATGCAGACACATGAAAAGTGTTTGCACCAGAAGAAACAGATGAGCTGAAGCGGGGTGTGGTGTCCGGTGCCTCCACCTGAGAAGAGCTTTCCCTGGGGAAAAAAAACACATGTGTGGACGGACGCTCAGAACAACATATAACGAACCAAACGGATTCACGCTTCTGTCCGGATGCTTTGCACCAACTCGGAACCAGCCGCGGTCAAGCGCGGAGGGCCGGAGCAGCCCGTCCAGACCTGTAGTCCACAGTGCATTCTCGTTTTCCCCACACGGAACCAGTGCGCAGACGACGGCCTTGAAGCACTCGGACCCAGTCTTTTGCACGCTGGTCTAGCTCGCCCCTGTCTGGAACCAGGACATGGAGGATGGAGCCTCAAGACCATCTGACCAACACTGGACCCCCAGCCCCATCTTGAGGGGCTGAGCTACGGTGATTGCACCCATGTGTTTAGCGCTGTTGCCCAAACTCAGAGCTTCTGCTCCAGGCTGATGTACGGTGAGTTTGTACAAAGTTCTAGGCTTCATGCTGCTGCTTTATGAGTTCATGGTGATAACTTGAGATGAGGACGGCCCACGGGGAACGGGGAACATAGATTCCTTTGGCAACTGGAGGAACATTGGGAACATCGGTCTGAGCCTAGTCCAGGTCCGTATGAGATGGCATCTGGACTAATACATTATATATATATATATATATATATATATATATATATATATATATATATATATATATATAGATATAGATAGATATATAGATATAGATATAGATATATATATAGATATAGATATA